CAACGAACTGAAAACATGAAACTGAAAGATCACCACCTCAAAACTCAGAGTGTACTTCATATCCACTACACTGAAACGGCAGAAAAGTGCAGAAAAAAAATAAAATTTCTAAGGAATTAGTGATTAAACGAACGGAATTTAGGTAAGTTAAAACAGAAGTCAACCTGTTATACTCGCGTATATTGAAACATTCCAAAGACAAGGCAGACAATTTGTTTGAACGTTTTTAATGACCTCAAAACGTTCAAAATATAAAAAGGGTAAAATATTTCTCAATTGGCTTAACTGGGACTCGAATTGAGTACTCGGTTTTATTGTTTAATTGCGTTTTTCATAATTAGTTTCTGGTATAGACTCAGCTCATAGCGGTGGAGAGATGAGGAGAGATCGATTACGTTGAGATATAAAATCATTCAAATGATGGAAAGGACAATAGCGGAAAAAACTCAGTCTTGAAACATCATAGTCAGTGTCCTTCAAAGATCAAGTAGAAGATACCACTGAAAACTGCAGGTGTGTATTTTTTTTTCGTTTAGGAAGTTTGAATGTTTCATTTTGAATCAAATTTAACATAAGTTTGGTAATTATAGAAAAGAAAACGTATATTTCTCTCACGGACGGATATGCGATTTCCGCTACTCGGTTTGGGAGTTCGCGTCAGATACAATTAACCATTGACCTACCTTTCGATTTACGAAAAACAAGAAAGTTTCACATTTTCCATTTCTAATTAATAGGCAAGTTGAGAAAACAAGTGAAACAGTTTTCCTCTCCGATCAGGATAAAAAGGCGGAGCTTACAAACTTAAAAAGGCGGTGCTTACAAACTTAATTCAGAGTGGGAAAGCGGTGAGCGGAAAGTGTTTTTCTTTGTTTTTGAAGAATTATGGGATGACGAAAGAAAAAATTATTCTGCAAAAATAATGCGAATCGGCACAAAATGAAGAAACGAGAGGTATAAAGCATAAACCGAATGCATTATGATATCAAAGAGGGTAGAGCAAAATTGTTTTTTTGAAGCTCACATGAAATATACGATAACGATGAAGCATGGAAAATAGTTGAAAGGTCTCTGAAAGAACAGTGAAACAAACATGATTGACACAAATATGGAATACCCGGGAATCGAACCTACGCAGACAGTATTTTCTACGCGAACACCATTGAACCAACAGACCCTGCTATCCCTAGCATTTCTAATATAGTCGATGATGCTTCCTCTGAACTTGCAACCGCAGTCATATATACATTCTAAACGGACAGAGAGGGGGCCAAGTGACATCGTTTTTCCAAGTCTCTCAGTCTGACGGATTTTCCGTAATTTTTTTTTACAGTTTGTCTTAGTTGGTTTTAGTTAGTTTATCAGCAGGATCAATTTTATTTTGTTGCTTACAGCTGATGTAACTCAATATGAATCCCAAGCTAGACTCTCCACAATGGTTTTCCTAGCCACATTTTGTTGATATAAGAGCATTGGAAAAGTAAGGAAAATCATACGTGAAAGCGAGGAAACCCGGTTGACGTGCGCGATGTGATGCTAAGATATCAGTGGTATAATGGAAGCAACTATGTCCAACGAAATGAAAACATGAAACCGAAAGACCACCACCTCAAAACTCAGAGTGTACTTCATATCCACTACACTGAACCGGCAGAAAAGTGCAGAAAAAAAATGAAATTTTTAATGATTTAGTGATTAAACGAACGGAATTTAGGTAAGTTAAAACAGAAGTCAACCTGTTATACTCGCGCATATTGAAACATTCCAAAGACAAGGCAGACAATTTTGTATGAACGTTTTTAATAACCTCAAAACGTTCAAAATATAAAAAGGGTAAAATATTTCTCAATTGGCTTAACTGGGACTCGAATTGAGTACTCGGTTTTATTGTTTAATCGCGTTTTCATAATTAGTTTCTGGTATAGACTCAGCTCATAGCGGTGGAGAGATGAGGAGAGATCGATTACGTTGAGATATAAAATCATTCAAATGATGGAAAGGACAATAGCGGAAAAAACTCAGTCTTGAAACATCATAGTCAGTGTCCTTCAAAGATCAAGTAGGTGATACCACTGAAAACTGCAGGTGTGTATTTTTTTTTTCGTTTAGGAAGTTTGAATGTTTCATTTTGAATCAAATTTAACATAAGTTTGGTAATTATAGAAAAGAAAACGTATATTTCTCTCACGGACGGATATGCGATTTCGGCTACTCGGTTTGGGAGTTCGTGTCAGATACACTTAACCATTGACCTACCTTTTGATTTACGAAAAACAAGAAAATTTGGAATTTTCCATTTCTAATTAATAGGCAAGTTGAGAAAATTAGTGAAACAATTTTCCTCTCCGATAAGGATTTGAACCTGCTCGTACGGTGTGTGAGATCAACACATATACGCTCGGCTATGTAGGTAGTAACATACATTTAAAATTTCAGAAAAAAATCTGTTCTCCTTTTAATTCCCCGATTCTCTCTGGAAAAAAAGTATAAGTTCTTCCAGGGAAAAGAATGAAAATTGCACTTCCAATTTGTCTCTTCACTTGCTTGGGAAGCAAGTCACAATGGAAAAAAAGCGTCCCAAAAGATGGTGAAAAATGCAGACCACCAAGATAACATGAATTCTGTTAAATACCAAATAAGCACAAAAGAGGAAAAAATGAAACTCTGGTTCAATTTTAAATGTTTCTGACTGGCTGAAAAATAATCAATTGGTTCCGATAACCTACTGAAAGTGATCTCCCTTAAATCATATGAGGGAGCGATCGTTCAGTTGGTCGACAAGTGCTCTATAACTCCCCAAACTTCGATTTGGTACAAGTGTTTTTGTGCACCTTGTCCGGCTGTTACAACAATTGGCATCCGGGCTAATAATGAAACGACAAAAATATTTCCTCTCATTAATTAACATTTTGAAACTTTTATTTCAATTAAGAAACTGATGTAGATAAGAGGTGGTTGGGAAGAAACCCGAAGTATTCCTGAAAAATCAATATACTGCAAGAAAACAACAGGATTTACTCTTTCTAGACAAGCATGTTTAGCTACTCGGCCAAGTTGTGCAAAAAAATTGTTGCAAGCAAAAACTGATCGAGAGCGACAGATTGCACCAAACTTTGAAGAAATGAATTCGCCCTTAGCTTCAAGTCGTCAAGAGACAATAAGCAGCACGGCTAATTTCAAGTAGGGGTAAACAAACGGTGCAAAGATAGTTTGTGGTAGTTTTGGGAGATAAACAAAACAGTGAAGAAAAAAACCCAGTTTAGCACCATTTTTGACTTGAGCATCAATTCGAAAGGAGCTTAAGTTTAAAAAAGGAAAACTGAAATTTAGTAACATTCAAAACATCCTTGTTTCAGTTCACTCATGTAAATTATCTGTAACACTTTATTTTGATCATGTTTCCCAATATAATCTTACATTTTATCATGATCGAGCGAGAAAACAACACATTGACAGAAATATTTCAATCTAAAGCGCCGCAACAATTGCGTCAACTGGGAGCAAAAAACGACATAAAAATGTTAGTATTGTTTCGCAAATATGACGCGTGCGGAAAACCAAACTTTTAAAAGTAAAAGTTGTCTAATTTTTTAATGTTTTTAAACCGTAATATAGCAGGACTACAAGCGCTCTTTTCTGACCACACATAGCAAAACAAAACAATAGCATCACGAGGAGGCTGTTTTTAGAGACTTGGGTTTTTAAGGGGTGGAGGGCAAGAAACAGTTTCTCGGCCTGTTATGAAAAAAAAAACTCTAAGGGTAAACGTGCTTTTAGACGAAAATAGCAAAATTCGAGCCTCCAATATCATTTACACGAAAAACGCTGGTGACATTAAAGTTGAAACATGATAATTTGTTTCATAACCTGTTACCTGCCAGAACTGTTCAATGGCCAGAAGCTACTGTTTTTGCCCCACCCAGTAACAGATAAGCAAAACTCTGATTTTAACAAGACCCTTTAACAGGGAAGAATCTACGGGGGGAGTAGTTTCTCCATTTTGATTCCTCACTGTAGTCACACTCAGACGATTCTGTTTGCCAGTTGCTCTGCTGACTAATTAGTGCATAATATAATTCAAGAAGTCGGATGACAACCAGTTTATCGAAAATATGAGAGAGACGCATTTTCATAAAATCATTTTTTGGTCTGGTTTCAATACCTGAGCTCGACTTCAACATCGTTGTTGCTGCTTTTTGCAGTAAGAGTTGCGATAAAAGCAATGACCCTTCCTTAATTACATTACGTCGAATATTTCGAGTCCTTGTGTGTTAGAACCATCGTCCGAAGACGCAGTGGGGTTGCGCAAATCTTCATTTCCTCGAGGAATCCGTTCAAAAACACCAAAATTGGAAGATAAAAAACTAATAATTTTGTGCAGGGTTTAAGCAAAGCGTTCCAAATGGGAATGGGGCATGCTCACCTTGCCTTTCCTAAACTAATTTCTCTCATCAGAAGATAGCAAGTAATGTCGGAGAACAATATAATCGGAATAACTTCCGACGAAAATCCCGCTAAAGGAGCAAAATACAAAATTGTCAATTCACTTTAGTTGGTTTTTTTTGGAAAAAAAAATTATAATCATTTTCATCTATCATGCAAGCGCCTTCTCTTCATGCCTTTATAGTGAAGCTACCTGAACTTTGACCTAAACATCTGAGACTACACCATTTTTTGGAAATTTCTATACGTTACAATTTCAGGATAGCCCGGACATTATAGCTTAATTTTGCTATCAAGTCTCAGAAGTCTTTTTCGGCGCTATATCAAAATTTGGAGATTTTGTTTTGAACTACAAGTTAGAATATAGTCACGGGACAGGGACCTTTCAATCTTCTGTCCTCTGATTTTAAAAGTTTTAAACGATCAAATAGTTCTCTTTGAAGTTGCCTAAAAACAATTTTGTGACTTTTTCAAGCTTTTCGGAACTGTAAGTACAATCAAGCTCAGTTTCAAAAAAATCTTGAAAACCATTTTTTTATAGTTTCAATTTTGTGTTTTATAAACATCTATAGAAAATTAATATCTAGACACATTAAACAGTAGAATTAATCTATTTAATTCATATGACAGTTACGCAAATTAAAGGGAAGTTTAAGAGGCATATTTCAACTTTCAAAGCTGAGATTTAACATTTATGTACTTTTTTACACTCAAAGAAATTTTAAAATCTGCAGATTATTGCTGAGAAGTTTCCGTGTGTTGGTCTATTTTTCTGTAATTAACTGTTCGCCTCATTCATATTCGGCAAAGAACATTGAATGTTTAGAAGAGGAAACTGGCGCAGGATGTTGGCTGGTAGAAGAAACATGTGAAGAAACAGGGAGTTCTCGATAGTATGAAGCTGGAGTATATTGCAAGCCGAATGTTCCAGATCTTCGATTAGCTGCATCACTTGACCCATCTGGTGGCTGGGAAACTTTTCCAGAAGTTGCTGGCATACCAGAAGCATGTTTTTATCATTTCCTGAAGCAAAATTCAATATTATCTTCAGAAACTGCAAAATCAAAAGTAAACAGCTAGACTTAAATTTTTTGCTCATGTTCAGACTTTCATTTCAGGTTTCTTAGATTTTCGAATTTCAGCGCTCAATCACCAATTTCCGGAAATGCAAACGCTTCATGATTTCAAGATGTTGAGTTTGTGTTGAGAAAAAAGATGGCAGAGAAATAACTTTTTTATTAGTGATTTTTTCAAAATTTATATTGAACCTTCAAGTTCAAGTAACTACCAATTTCACTCCAATCCTTACTATTAAAAATCGGTTCGTTTAAATGCTTTACAAGCTAGCTCCTTAACAATTCATCACCTTTTTCACGCCAATTCAGGTTGACTGAATAATAGATAATTAATGAACGTCAAAAAGAGAGACCATTAGTCTGTCTTATAAAATTAAACCGTGGTGCTTTCAAATTTAATTGGCCAATTTATTGATTTGCATTGAAGTTCCTTGGTGGTTGATAATTTTTGCATATTGCTTTATGACGAATTCATGCCTTTCAAGTTAATCTGATTCAATTCAGACAGACAAGACAGACTTAGAATCGAAGTCTTATTCCTCTTATTCGTCTAAATCTTTCAAGTATACTGATGAATTATCACAGCTTAATTGGAACACGATAGCATTACTAAATGAGACATACTTCAATTTTGCAGTCAAAAGAGAATTCGAACTGAAAAGCATTTGAAAATTTAAAAACACAAGAGTCGTATCAGGGCGAAGCCCTGAAGGTTCTGACCGCGTTTTAATTTCTATGAAGTAATTTGGAAATAATTGATGAAATTTTTAAAAACAAACAGAAAAAAATCAAAATTGTTTTTGATGTTCATTAGGAGGCCAAACTGTGCACTGGATAGGCTCACAATTTTGAGTCTGTATGTTCCTTGATTCCAGGGACAAGTCTTTAAATATGTAACAAAACGTAAGTGGGTTCCACTTACAAAATTTCTACAAATTCCGCATACAAATACCTGTAACTTAAATTTTGTTAGCACACTAGTTTTGTCGCGGATTCCGCAACGAGCAAATATAGGTAGTTGGTCTGGATTCCACAAATGTAAGCGGATTCCGCATATTTAAGTAGATTCCGCAAATTTAAGCGAATTCCGTTACAACTAGCGGATTCCGCCTACAATTTGCATAATCGGTTTACAATTTGCGGATTCCACAACAGCTTAAGTTTAATAATCATATATATTATTAATTGTCCGTGGATTCCATAAACTGTTCAGGATTCCGCAAATTTTGTTGCGGATTCCGCTAAATTGCTTGTTTTGGAGTGATTTTGAGCAATACAGTGATGTAACTATTTGTCCGTGGAATCCAAAACAGCGAAGAAGATCAAAGAAACAGCAATGTTGCTGATTCCGCAACAATTCTGTTTTTAGCCTGCTGCGGAATCAGCTTACAATTCACAAAAAGCACACTGTGGCCTCGTAATGTTTTTTTTTGAAAATCGTCCCCCACGTGAAATATCTTTTTAAATCTGAGCTCATCACAAAAACAGTACCTTTAAAACGATATTGAAAAATTTTTGTCAAAAGTTGCTAGTTAAAAAGTTCAAACTTTTCTGAAGAAAAAACCACCTTGAGCACAAATATTCCGTCACTTTTGTTGAAAATCGGAACAAAACCAGAATTTATATCCCGACTTCAAGGGCGGTCCACAAGGAGTGCAGTCAAAAAGAAGACAAGTCGTAAGCCAATCACAACCGAGATAAGAAAACAACAGTACCAAGTATTTTTTCTTTACTCTGAAAAAAGTCAATCGAGGCAGTTTTTGGCAGCGCTGAATTTTGATTTACCCGTTTATTAGAAATATTGTTTGCATTAAAAAAAATGGAAAAAAGGACCGTAATCCAGTAAAAGCTCAATTAAAATACCTTTTTGTGAGCTGAGTAAGAGAAGAACTTTGACTGCGGCGTAGAACTGCGGACTAAGATTGAGAGCCTTCAGTCGTGTGTGGATATCATTCAAAAAACGGACCAGATTGTTGTACCGCTTCAAGTGGTCCAGTCTGCCCGGAATGCGACTTCGGACCAACCCAATTTTGGTGTCAATATCCTGTTCCGTGTTTGGATTATGAATCTGAAGTTGGGTTAATAATACTAGCGGGCACCATTGCTGAGTGAAAATCGAAATAAATTTATTTTCAGGTATTAAATTTTTCAGCCCCCCGGCCCATTCAAGAAGAATGTTGACCAAAACTGCCATTGCTTTATCTACTGAACACGAATTTAACAGCAATGAGAGCAAAACTTGGTTGATTTTGGAATCCATCGTCGATTTCGAATCCATTTCGGCAATCAGGTCGAACGCGTCTCGTGCTAGATTCTCATTTTGACCAAGATTTGGACGATTAGTATTCGGGTTTCCACCAATAGAAGCTATATTTTGAAAGAGTTCTGCCGAATTGATGACAATTGATGGAGCATTTATTGTCGTTTTGGGTGGGAAATTTTGACCTTGAGAACTTCCCGCAGTTCTTTGGTCGTTTGTGGGACTTGTGGTGTTGCAATTTGTCGGCGAGTTGCCAGCCTCTAATCTAGTGATATTTGTGTCGAGGCGCGAATTTGGCATTACAATAGAGGGTCGGCTAATTGTTACATTAGGCGTGAAACTTGTGTGGCGCGGTTGTGATATGTTTCTCGAAGGAGCCTGGAAAAACATCCTCTTGTTCGGAGAAAATGTGTAATTTGTACGATCTTCATTCATGTTTAGTTGACTTCTGTTTTCGGATAAATATGAGTTTAGGCTAGTTGCTGGAATCAACGAGGGCGGCGGAGGTCTAGAGACACTCCACGCAGAACTATGCCCAAAATTTGGGCTCCTATGAACATCTTGCACCTGATTTTGAGGGCTTCTATGATTCATCATCCTTGTCGGAGATACAGATTGGTCATTTCTGTGAATCAACCCTGGAATTTGCACTCTAGAGATATTAGAGTTTGGTGAATGATTCTGTTTGCTGAGTAACATTTGCAGTTGACTTGGTGGTGAAGTTTGATTCAAAACCGATTGCTCTGGAGAAGTTTGACCTCTGCATTTTGCAACTGAGTTCAAACGCCTGTCAGTTGTAAGCACACAGCTGTCATTGCTTCTAATAAGTGGAGGAGGGATCGAAATTTTAGCTCCTGGCGCTCGCGCCGAAACTTGATTAGATCGGGAAGTTTGGTGGGTTTGAACAAAAGTATCCAAATTTTCGGTGTGTGATTTATCACTCTGCAATCTGAATGGCATTAATTCATTGTTAATTACTATGTTCAGAGGAAAATTGGCCGATAATGTAGTTTTTGGCCATGCTTCGGGAGCTGAAGACATCTTTTCTCTCTGAGATATGGTAGAAGAAAGGTATGAGCCACTAATTTTGGCGAAAGGGGTGAGGTCTTCAATCGAATTTGGAAACAGGAACCGTTTTCGCGATTCTTTTTCCTTCTCTTTTCCATTCGCTCCGTTTTTCAAGATTTCTAGAAACGAAACACAATATTTCTAAAATCTGCTCTACTTTTGTATTTCTTTTTTAAAAAAATGTTCACCGAAGGCAGTTTTACGGTGATGCGACGCTAAAAAAGATGCGTATCAAAATATCTAATGTAACAACCTTACAGTGATCATAGGAATTTCATATTTTGTCTGGGTTTTTGGGTTTAATTTAACTACTGGTAAAGTTTTTCGAGGTTGCTCGTTGCAAGCCAGCAGGCTCATAGGTTTTCCTGGTGTTTGAATTTTACAAGCACTATTTGAGCTCTGCATGTCAAATACCAGAACTGAAGTCAAATTCAATGTTACCTAGTAACGAATCTCCTCCCAGACCCCCTATAAAAAATAAATCAACAATAAGCATATGAGAGTTTTGTACCTAGTAATGAATCTCCTTTTGCAGAGGGGGGATAATTGAAGAGATCCCAATATCCTAGAATACTCCTACATATTTGGCTATCCGAGAACAAAATTGAATTAACCTTACAGTTCATAAAACTACCACTCACCTTTGGTTAATAATCCGTATCTCAAACATTGGTAGTATTTACACTTAGTGCAATTAGGTCCCGAGTTCGAGTCCCGCTCTGCGCCTTTGCATGTGCAACTCAAACTTGACACTTTTTGGATGTTTATGCAGTGGAAAAACTTCCAGCAATCTCCACATACGTCAGCTGATGTCATAATAGTTGCGTCATTCTCCCCATCGGAATTTTCCGAGCCTCTCTGGGGTAAAGAACACACAGGACATGCAGATGATGGAACACTTCCGTTTTCATTAGAGGGAGATCTCGTTTTCAAACTTGCAGGCGAGTCGAGAGATCTCTCCAAAATTGTTTGTCCCCCGCCAGCACTATTGGGTCCCCCCGTAGTTTCTGTTGCGTTTGAAGCGCCTGGCCGAGTCAATAGACTATAAAGTAAGCTCGATCGCGCATTTGTTTCGGGAATTTTGTTATGATTTGGCGATTTTTTAACGCAATTGGATACCGCATTCACATTTTGCGGAGTCAATTTTTCTTTCGTTTCAGACTCGTTCTTGACCGAAGAAATATTGGCGTTTGTTGCATTTCTAGCAGCAGTCATTTCCTCAGGACTTTTTTCGCCACTCGTAGCTTTGGGAGAAATGCTATGTTCATCTTTTCGAAATAATTTCGCTGCTGAACTGTTTCTCAATTCCAAACATTTGTCATTGTTTCCGGAAAATGGAATAGTCGCACTGTTTTTCAAAGACGAGTACTGTTCTACACATAACTGTTTCGGGCGCTCTGTCGGAATTTTCCGTTTGAGGCTTTCGACAAGAAGAGGATACTCGACGTCAAAGTCACTCTTTTCCGCCTCGCTCGAAGTTGAAGCCTCGTTTGGGGATTGGTTATCGGGTGATCGCGACAACGCGGGTTTGAACTCAACGGGTAGAGTCGGCAAATCAGGCGGACTGTATCGCCGCTTTTTGGGGGGTAAGTTGGACATTGCACAAGGAAACAAAGACCCTCCACTAGTGACAAACTAAAACAAATAAAAGTCAAAAACTGCCGAGAGAAAATGGTTACAAATAGGCAAGTGGTGGTCTCAAACAGCAAAATGAAACTTACTTTGTATTCTTATTGATATAAAATCAAATTAAAATTCACTGTTAAGGTGAAACTGAAAAAAAAAGTATTGGGGGATCTAAACTGCGGATGAAAATGTCAAAAAATGGCACCGTTAAGATGAAAATAAACTGAAAATGAAAAAATAGGCAAAGTCGCTTTCAGCGCCGCAAGTGAATGTGATGAAAGTTTCATTTCAATTTCCTGCTTCGGAATTCGTTTCAACCAAAATTATCGATGCTTACAGCTCATAGACTATTTTAAATTAAGTTGGTGCCAAGTTTAATTCCATTAATTTGTCACTGCAAGGAAACTCAGAAACACTTGTGAGCAATTTCTTCTTGGCTAATTAACATCATCGCAGGAAATTATTTTTATACTTTTATTTTGATTAATCCGCGACTTTATCATCAACTAAAGAGTCTTCTTCTAATAACGCAGTAACGTGCTTAGGTGGATTCTAATTTTCTTAAGACGCCCAATGCATATATTTTTAGCGAGGGTCAATTTGTGGTTGGCAGAGCTGGTAAAGTAAAATCGAAATCACGGATCGAATCTCTCTCAGCTATAAAAAAAAAGAAGTTGTACTTTAATAATTAATGCGACTGTTGAATTCCTGAAAAAGACTACTTTAACAATCCTTACAATTCCAGCCACGAAGTGAAGTCCGCTTTTATTTTTGAATCAGTTTTTGGGAATTCAATTCATCTGGTGAAACGATTATCAATCATGCATAAAACGGTAAATTAGAAGAACACGTCTCTAAAATCAGCGTATATTTGTCTAAATATGGCCATACTTTTGGAGTGGTGTGATATTTCAAGAGTGGTGCGACATTTAAGCCAGTGCGATTCAGTTTAACTCTAAAAAATCCGCCTTCGAAGGCCTTTTAATAAGTAATAATGTAGTCACAGTAGTCACAATAAAAAGAATTGCATGTATATTTTGCACCTCCCCCCCCCCCCCTCCCCCAAAAAAAACAAGCTTCTAGCAATATTATAAATAAAAAGTTTAGTTGACATAGCCCGATCGCTATGAAAATTGACATGCTTAGTAATTAGGTTATTCCAAACATGTTTAGTTTTCATGCGTTACATGATAAAAATAACGCGTGGCACCATACGACTGATGACTACACGAGGGGCAGTACAACAGCGCCGAAGTACACAGTGCCAAATATCAAAATTTTGTTCAACAAAGCCGAAAATCAAAATACTGTTCAACAGTTCCAAAAATCAAAATATTGTTCAAAAATGCCGAAAATTATTTAGCATAATGTATTTACTCATCCCAAATTAGAGACAAGTAATTGAATACAAATGGACGGAAGTTGAAAAGACAAAATTGGCCATTTTAATTAATGTCGCTTGTTCAACCAACTTCCCCGAGCGCAGCGCCAAAAAATTAACTTGGCTAATTGTCAATTTTTTTTTTCGGTTTGGCTCCAAACCAAAACAGTCTTCTCCCAAAACTGCCAACAACTCAAAAACGGAACTCAAAATTTCCAAACATTAATTTTCGGCACTGTTCAACACATTTTCAGCTTCGGCATTGCTGAACGCTCCCTATACGAGGTGGTGGTGGTGGGACAGCTTAGCTCTTAAGCAAGGGTAGCTTTAGTTCTTAAGCAGGGATTGCTTAAATCGGTACAAGCATGATAGAGGTATACCAAGAAATTGACAGGGTACCGAATTTAAACACAATTCTTCAAAATTTTTGAATTTTTTGGTTCGGTGATGTAAATTAACTTATAAGTAAACGCAATTGAGGCAGGTTAATTACGCTTGGGAAAAGTCATAGAAACGACAGAGTCTTTTGATTTTAACAATGCTATTTGCTGTGTTATACAACTGTGTTATGATTTTGAAATTTTGAAAAAAAATCTTTAATAAAAAGTTCGGAAAAAATGAGCTTTTTGAACAACTTAATTGAAAATGCTCAGGATAAAAAATAACAAGAAGTTGATAGGTACTGTTTAGATATCAGGCGATTACTATAATCTAAGCATCGCAAATAGCCTTCCTTTCATTTTTAATTTTTATAGACCCAATAGATTTATATTTTAATCGGTTATCAGCTGTGTTCGCATATGCAATAAGACTATTCGTATCATTGAGAAACCCTCAACATCTAGACTGCTCTTTAACGCCTATGAAAAAGTTTTTGAAATAACCATTTTGATGAAAACTAAAAAAACTTCGAAGCCATAATTTATCTGATTACGCGTTAATCGCTCAAATCTGCGACGAATTTTCCATGATTCTGTCAAAAACCAAGCTTGTTAAAATGTCAAAAAATTTCTGAAAACAAAACATAGTGCAGTCTCTGCAAAATACAAGTATGCATAAGGGGACCAACAATATCTAAGAAGCTCTCCTGAAATAAGAAAAACCACACACCTGTTTGCAGTAATTTGTTGCCGCGATGATTTTTCTCCAGGACTAATCAACATTTAGGGACCCAACTATCACTTGTATAATAACTATATAAGCACACTTATTAATTGCCTTTTTTCTCTAATGGACGGAAAATTTAACAGAGAATAGGCAGAAATATGATTTGGTTGAGTTGAAAATTACAGTATGCTCAATTTTCTTCACATACTTGCGAGTCAAATTAGGGCTCAATTTGAATCAAAATCATTCTAGGAACTATTCGAAAAACTATTCGCTCGGACAAACCTTCTTAAGCAGCTATTCTTAATTTGTGGCAAAAAAAAACAGCCAGCGCGTTTTAACGCCTCATTAAAAAAAAACTAGCTGGCCTCACTTCATATAGGAATGTGTTCGGAGACGGTATATCACTTCATTAAGCACAAAACATATTGCGTCAGTTAGAAAAATAGGCTCAAAACTCGCTAGTTAAAGCACCAAAAAACACGGTTTAACTGTGATAGTTAAGTCGCAGGAAAGAATGAAAAAATTTGGATGATAGATGAGTCCCACTATTTCAAAGAAAATCTCCACAAAATGAAGAAAAAAAAGTAAAACTGTTTATGGGAACTTTAAGACACTTTAAATTTTCTTGATAGACCACGCAATAAGCTAAAAACAAGTTTTTGGACAAAAAAGGCATATAAATAAGTTCTCCAAAAACAAAGATTAAAAATTTTTGATATGAGCGGAGAAAACAACGATTCTTTGAGTGAAAAATCGAATATCTCCAAACCCATCTATGAACTGTTCTTTACTGACTATAAAGGTTGGTACTTAAAGTGTTATTGATTTCAACTAAAACTCTGAAATTATTCCTGTAGATGCCTTCACCTTCTGTGACACCACATTCAACTGGAGACCAAAAACAACATTTCGGGATAATTATTTTGCAGCCGGTATAAACTTAGTCCGTTTTTTTATTACACCATATTCCAGACTTAAATATTTTCTGGGGCGAAGCTCTTTTTTGTCACTCAACGTCGTTTTTTTTTGCCACTAGAACTTTCACGTGGTACCACTTTTCCCGCCAAAACCCATCAAGCTGTGTTAGACCTGAAATTGGAGGTCAAGTGAGAGCTTGTCCTCACCCACTATCATTTGCATAGCAGGGGATCCATTACACAATCTGACGATCACGTGAAGCCTTACCATTATGATAAGTAAAAAAAACTCTGCCCCTAACTCGATGTGAAATAACGTGTTGTCAGAAGCAAACAACAACTTAAATCAAGGTGATGCCCTGAATATCCTCACTACCCTTTGACGCCTATGAAAAACTTTGCAAGAGAAAACTTTGATTTATACTTTTAAAAGAAATTAGGGAAAAAATCCTGATACATGAGCAAATTTTGCCCAATCGCAAAATTAAGAGCAAAATGATGTTGTAAGGGCCTTTTAACGCACCATTCGGACAAAATGGCATGCCATAGATCACGCTGGACTATGTAAGGCGCCGGATTGTCTAGCCATTTACTCGTTTAATAGCACAGAGCTAATTGCGCAAAATTTTTGAAAAAAAAATTGTTCGAAAGTGGCTTGTGAAAATATCAATTTATGTTTAAAAAACCAAGGTACAAGTATGATAGTTGCGTCAAAAGACAAAATTGAAGGAATGAAAGATGGAACTCGCCATTCAAAAGAAAATCTCCAAAAATAAAGAAAACAAGGTGTAAGTATGATAGATGGGTTCTGCAATTGTTGAGAAAATTTTATAAAGAGAAGCAAACAATTTCTGAGCCTGTTTCCAAGCAGTATAAGCACAAAAAACTCCTTCGGGGACCCATCTACTTTTAGGAACCCAACTATCGTACTTGTACCGAAAACAATTGGAAACCATTTCACGGAAATTTGATGCCTTATTTATTTTAGATCGACCGCTCAATATTAAGGGACCCACCTAACCATACTTCTACCAAAATCAATTCAGTGCACAACTATTCCTTCGCTTTCTCTTATAGACGGAAAACTTCACCCAGAAGAGAAAATATAAGGGTGAGTTGATATTTCCAGAAAGACTAATTTTTACAAATATTCTTGTCACAGTTGAGCTCATTTTGAATCAAACTCAATTTAGCTGAGTTAGAAATATTGCTCGACTGGACTAACCTTGTTGCGCGGCTTTTCTCAATTTTGCGGCTAAAATGCGATTTTTTTAGCTACTTCCTTTTAAACAGCTCATCATGATGAATGAAATTGGTTAAGAAGATTCCAAGAAACTATTATTACTCTGGACAAAGAGCATGTTAATGAATTTCTGGAAAAAAAAAAAAAAAAAAACTGTTGAGATGAGCTAAAAATACAACGGTTTTAAGAGTGAATAATCAAAAATCTCTAAATTCGTCTGCGAACTGTTCTTTACTGACTTTGAGCAAGCGTGCTTTAAGCGTTATTGGCTTCGACCAGAACTCTGAAACTATTTCTCTAGATGACTTCTTCTTCTGTCGCGCCACATTCAACTGGAGACCAAAATAACATGGAACTGATTTCATGATAATAATTTTAAAATAATTTTGTTTCTGCGATTCGCAGAATCTATGAAAATCTTTGCAGCCCGCGTTTCTTTTATTTCGCCTAAACCGTTTCTTTTTATTCAGACTGAAACATTTTGTGGAGCGAAGCTCTTTTTTTGTGACTCAAGGTCGCTTTTTTTAAGCCTCAAAAACTTTCACGTGGTACCACTTTTGCAGCCGAAATCGATCAAGCTGTGGTAGACCTGAAGCTGGAGGTAAAATGAGAGCTTGTCCTCACACACTATAATTGCCATGGCAGGGGATCAATTACACAATATGACATGACGTTCACGAAGAGAAGCCTTACCACTATGCTAAATGTCTGTGGCAAGCTCTGTGCCCAATCGTCTCGATGCAATTGAAAGTGTATCGGTTGCCAGCTGCACAGACGTGTTGTCAAAAGCAAACAAGACAGGTCATATCAAGGCGATGCCCTCAATATCCTCACTGCCCTTAGACGTCTATGAAAATTTTTTCAAAAAAACGTTGATTTATAATTTGAATAAAAGAAATTCGGAAAGATGTCCTGATATATAATGAGTAGATTTTGCCCTCGGCCTATATAAAGAGCAAAAAGATTTAGTAAGCGCCTTTTAACGCATCCTTATGACAAACTGGCGTGCCCTATATCTAGATGGAATATGTTCGGAGCCGGATTATTCAGCCACTTAATCGTGTAAAAGCACATAAAAATTTGCTCTAAGCTTTTAAAAAATTGTTCGAAAGTGGCTTCTTAAAATATCAATTTTTGTCTGAAAAAAAACCTCGGTACAAGTTTGATAGGAGGTCAAAAGAAAAAAAAATGGTAGGTATGAAAGATGGGTCCCGCTATTTTAATGAAAATCTTCAAAAATGCAAGAAATCAAGGTACAAATATGATAGTTGGGTCCCTGAAAAAAACAGGTATCAAAGATGAGTCCTGCAATTGTTGAGAAAATTGTAAAAACACAAGTAAACAAATTCTGAACAATTATTCATTCCCTCACTTTCTTGAAAAGACGGAATGTTTTTACCAAGAAAACACGGATCTATTTTATTGTTTACAACCTTTGGTACCTAGTAACGAATTGCCATCCCCATAAAAAAACTAGTTCAATGGTTAAGCAAATGTGAACTTTGTACCTAGTAACGAACCTCCCCCGTTTAAAAAAAGGGGAAATAGTAAAAGAGATAGAAAAAAAACAAACAGGAGTAGGGTGAGTTGCAAATCACAGTATGGCTAATTTTTTTTACAGAATTGCGAGCCAGATTAAGGCTCACTTTAAGTCAAAAGCTTGTTTTATGCTAAATTAGAGAATTTATTCGACTGGACTAACCTTGTCGGCGACTTCTCTCATTTTGCGGCAAATAATAAAAGAATGTGAATTATTTTCAGCTACTTGCTACAAAACAACCAAACGTGTAGAATGAAATTGGTATAAAAGAATACGAAAAAGAACCAAATGCGGAAAATGAATGAGAAGAGAATTGTTGTGTAAAGGATAAAGGAAAGGAAAGCGACCTCTTCTATCGTTCTATCTTCTTCTGCTGAATCAGAATTAGACTGTTGTAGAAAACATTTCCCTTTTCAGTGGGACAATTTAGCAAACAAGGATGAAGTTATTATTGAAGAGGCGAATTCGCCTCGCCACAATCAATCTTGCTTATTCGGATATTTGAACTCTGATTGTAGCCAGATGCACCGACGTTCGTCAACCTCCGAAGTCCGACAGTTCAATGACAACGCATGCATAAAAAATGGTTTTTTGTAGTTGCTTGATATTATTTTTACAATACCAAGTCGCCTGTCTGATTCCTCAGTCGTTTTTTATGAATCTGTTTTTGTTGTAGTAACAATTCTGTCGTGAATTATGATAATTACTCCACTGTAATTGTAGTTTTCATTTTTAATTTGCTTCAGTATAATTTTAAGCTGCGTTCAATGAAAATTTTCTATTCAAAATTAACGAATGTGAAGTGAATGTACCACATTCATAGTTCAACTTCAGTATTTATATGGTCTTAAAATCAGATAAAATTGTATTGAAAACTTTTATCAGAGGCCTGCGACTGACGTAAATAAAAGTTTCAGCTGTCTAATTCATTTGGAAAAATGCAATTTTATTTTGATAAACTCGTAAATTTATTACATGAAGTCAAATTTATAAATTTTAGAGGCATTGAAGCTGCAAACAATTCAAGTAACCTTTACATAAGACTAATATATATCCGAACGGAGTCGAAGTCCGAAGTCCGCTTATTCGATCCCAAGGTCAAACCGAGGGCGAACAGTTAATGATTTAGCCAATCAGAACACAGTTAAACAGTTCAAGAGCAATCGGTTAACTGTTATAACGCGGCAATGTCTTCTCTGTTCGCAAGGACACTACCGACGAACGAGTAAAAGGACGAAGTTAGAGGTCAAAGCCCTCTCGTTGCTTGGACTCTGACTGTAACGTAATTTACAATACGGCACAAAAGATAAGTTTCTCTTCTAAGTTATACGCTATTAACCACAATTTCAGAAATTTCTAGATTTAATTTATTTTATAACCACAAAACAGTTGAGTTCGACCGACAAAAAAAGGATATAATTTTGCTTGATTGTTCGCGCAAGCTGAAAACAAGCGTCCTTCACGTTTTCGTCTTGGTGAGATTTCGGCAACCTTGGGATTGAACAGTTTCTAATTCCCTGCAGTAGTACTATTCTAAATAGCTCGCGCTCGGCTTCTAATTTGTCTGAAGGAAGAAGACGAATTAGTGGGACAAGGACGAGGACCTTAAAGCCAGCCGACCGTATATTCAGCCGAATAAACACCAACTCAAATTTTAACACGTCAATATGCGGCCAAAAATTACCAAAACGTTGAATGAGCTGGTCTGTTTAAACTTAGGTCTGAGATTTTTTTGCATTTGTTAATTTCATTCAATCAGAATTAAGCATTATGATCCAAGTTTCACAAAAGTAAAACGATGAAAAGTTTGGTCGTATAACAGAAAAGACCCAGCAAAGATCTCACTTTCAACTCCATCCAACCGAACCAACTATTCGGCATCGATCAAAACTTCAGGGTTGTGTAAAATGCTCCTTTCTGATGGGATCGAAATTCAAACTTCTCTCTAAACTGCAACTGCTTTGGGGGCTATAGGATTTTTGACTAGGCCCATGATAATCTCGCTACCGAAGAGTCGCTATATTGCTTGCATTGATATTAAATTCTTCGAAAAAAGCCTTTAGAGCAAAAGGTGCGCATTCTAAATTGGGATACAATTTTGATATCATTGCGTTCTTAGTATTCATTTATCATTTCTTAGATCTTTTCCAAATCAGATTAAACTAACGTTGACTTATTGGCAAACATGAATGTTTATCAGAAAAGTTCAATTTGAATCTGATTTGTGTTTTGTCGGCTCAATGCATGACAAACGAATTAGGCGGTAGAAGTTGTAAAAAAGGAATTTGACAGCCGAAAACGAGTTATTTATAGCTGATCAAGAGAACATGTATATCTATATACATACATATAGAATGTAGAGAGAATTCAATGTAATAGGTCGATAAAACAATTGGCCGAAAGAGCTTCAAAAATTTTTACTAAACAAATTGACTCATAAATGAGGCCCAAATAAATCATATTTGGCATCAAGGACCAAATTAGCAACCTCCTCCCTAAAACGAAACAGCTTGAGAGGAGGATGCTTACTTCGATCTAAGTAGGAATTATCAGATTATCAGAATTATCAGTTTTCATGCAGCGCTTAGCAAATTCGATCCAAATTAAATGCTGGGGTGGATGTTAACTTGATCCAACATCAAAAAGTACCATCCTTGCTACTAATTGCAGTATTTTTAACCTAAAGTTAGACCATAAGAGCAGAATTATGATATAAAAATTGGCAAAGATCGCGGAAAACTTAAAAAAATACAAATTGGAAATTTAATTTTCAATAAAAAATGGTTTGCATTTATCGCCAATTTCCATCTTCTTTCCAGTTCTTTATCAAATCGTTTTCAGCGGCGTTTGCTAGATTTAATTTTTTTGTTCAAATTTAGCGTTTAACGATCTATCATCGGTTTGAAGACCTGTCGTCTCAATGATATGCTACCCGTCTGAATCATTGAGTAGGTGTCCTTGTAGTTTGCACTAACGGAACAACAGTAAATGTAGCATAGTAAAGGAAAACGACGAGAGAGCGGCTAATACTGTACTATAGTAACTTGTAACTATGACTAATATAAAAGGATTAATTTTGACTGGATATTCCAAATGTGGAAATGAAGATGACCTCCCATTCATTCAACTCAAGGAGAGCCCTACGAGGGGAATAACCTACAGCCCACATATTTTGTGGTTGAAGTTGCAAATCCATGGAAGGAATCACTTGATTTGGACCTGATTCAACGTACCGTAAAGACATGTTACGTAACAATTCTCTTAACCGCATTTCAAGTTCAATGATCTTAAATTTGTCATTTCAAGCTATAACTGAACAGCAAAATCAAGTACATACATGCTGCGATCTAGCTTTAACAAAAAGCGAGGTCAGAGCTGGAGCTGTTTTCGGTTCTACAGCCCCCTACTCCACCCCCTAAATGATGAAAAGTCGAAATTAAGCTGGATCAAGTTAACATAAGATTTGTTAACGGCTTCGGTGGGGGGGGGGGGGGGTATTACTAAGAAAGGCTGGTTATCAATATGGCGCGGGCCGAAAGAAAGCGAGGATCTTGTTAACTATTCCCCCTCCCCTATTGGACCTTCGGAACTAAACCCCCCTCTGCATAAACTATTTCTATCAAGGTCATAGTGTCATATTGTAAACAATTAATAAGATTTTAATTTGGAACAAGTTAACATCCTCCCCCGCCCCTTATTGGAGCTAGATTGAAGCACGCACTTGATTTTGCTATTCAGTAATAGCTTAAAATGACGCATGTAGATCAATGATTTTTAATAAAAATTAAATAAGTTTGAGGTTACGGTCCTAGTGGTCCGTTAGATCGGCTCCAAATCGAGTGCTTTCTTCCATCGATTTGCAACTTCAACCACAAAACATTTAGGTTGTAGGTTATTCCCCTTGTGGGGCTCTCCTTGAATTGAATGAATGAGAGGTCATTTTCATTTTCACATTTGGAATATCCAGTCAAAATTAAGTCCGTCAAAATGTGTTTATTCTTCCGACTTTCGAAGAAAGAGGAATATTTATGCTCGGTGTAGTTTTTTTATTCAGTCAGTTTTCGCCGATCGAAATAATAGTTTCGACAAAATTTTTTTAATACCCATTGAAGATATCAACTTCCTGAGTTCAAATGTGAAAAGATTTTTTACCTCCGATTGTATTTTGTAAAGTTCTGGGGGTTGAAAAGTTGCCAAATTGGCCATGTACTGGACTAAATTATGCGCGCTTTGAAGAATTTTTTTCATATTGCTGAGAGCGTAACGCGAATTGTTTCAGCGTGGCAAATTGTCCCGCACAACAAACTCGTTCTAAATTGAACTGAGGCTAGCCCATCAGATCGGTCGTATTCATCTCGTACTACTCAACATTTCACACTAAGATGTTGTCCAAAATTTATAGGTTTTCAATATCTTTCCCCCAAAGTGTTCGATATGAATTAATGGACAGTCGGAACATTCAGGTCTTTGCGTTGATATACGAGCAGTCTTGTTACTCATAGGTACAAATTACTATATTATAGCACAAGACGCTCTCTGATTGTTTTCCTTCACTATGCTAAATTTGCTGAGCAAATTACAAGGAAATCTACACAATGATTCAGACGGCTAGCATATCAATGAGACGGCAGGTATTGAAACCGATAATAGATCCTTAAATGATAATTTTGAGCAGAGAATTCAAATTAAGCAAACGCCGCCGAATGCAATGTATTAAAAAACTGAAGAGAAGAGAAGAATGACGATGTTTTTGATTAATTCTAAGTTTATCGCATATTAGAAAACAAAAATTCAAAATTTTCAAAGATCTCCGCCAATCTTCAATTCTTACTTGTGTTTTGATGGTCAACCTGTCGATTGAAAAATACGGCAATTAGTAGGGTTAGTGGTAGTTATTTTTTGCTTCCGGGTCAATTTAACATCATCCCCCCAGATATAGCAAGTTAAATGTTCCACCCCAGCGTTTAGTTTGGGATAAATTGCAAAAACTGCATGTTAAATGCTCAAATATGATAGGTTGAAATATATCACTTAGAACCAAGTAAACATCCTCCTCTGAAACTGCGAAAGTGAGGTGGATGTTAACTTGTTCTTTGCAGCCAATTAAGATTTATTTGGGTCTCATTTATGTGTCAATTTATCACGAATAACTTTTTGAAGCACTCTCGGCCAACTGTAACTTCGACCCATTGCATTCTCTTATGTCAACGTCCTTCAGTGCATGCAAATAGTTAAACGTGATCTCTTGGTCCAATTTTTGTCGTTAAAAAATGACTTCGTCTGAAATTGAAGTCATTGTCGTGATACAAATTGTCTAATTCTAACTAAGCAGTTCGCAATCTAAATGGTTAAACCTTCTGTAATCGAAACCTTCCATAAAATGTGACATAAAAGTGAGGCAAATTGTTTTTAATTATTTCCACTTTTCTACGCAAATCGCGTAAGCAGCAACTGTTGATGTTGAAAAATAAAAAAAGATAAAAAACGCAAAAAATCTCGAGACAATTTTCGCTGTAGAAGTGGGATTGCGATCTTGTTTTTTTTTTCGAAAAGTTTGATTTTTCAAAATCAGTTTATCTGACTCATTCAAAACTCAGTCGAGTCCATTTGAGACTCTGACTTTTTGCTCGACCGAAATAACTTTCCCAGTTTTGTCTTGTTTTGGCAAGAATTTCTACGCACAGGTTCACCCAATTATTTTATATTAAACTGCAATTAGCGGTGGCTTTGATTCAGTATTGAACTTGACAGTTTACATTCAATCATCAATCAACTCAGTTCACCACTTTCAAACTCTTTGCAGATTTGAGCATTTTCAGTTCAGTGACCAGAATCATACCTGAATATATCAACAGAATTAAAGGCTATTAATCGATATCTAATAGAAGCGAATAACCATGATAACGCCCCACGCCCTCTGTTTGAAAATGACCTTTACGCGACCCGAACTTTGTTTTTCGAGACTCATTTCAACCAATCACAATCAGAGATTTGTTCTCCGTGACAGTAATACATATTAACAAATTAAGTTTAACGGAGCGGCTTCTTTAGGCGAATAAATAATTAATCGAAAAATTAGGAATTAAAATTAGGCGAAAAAATTGACAGTAGAGGGCGTGTACTCAATTATTAACGTATTCTGGCGAAGCATTCTAAAGGTGGCGTCCCTCATGACGGAGACACCGAATGTTG